GGGGGGGGGGGGGGGAAGAGCCCTAATGAGACTGAAAGCAACTCCAATGAAGTAAAAAGAAAAAGCAAAGCAAATCAGTAGCCATAGAAACAAAACTGTTGTGAAATGTGAAATGAGGAAGAAGAAACCTATTAAGGAACGGTTACCAAATAAGACTTCGGGTTAGGTAACGGGTAGATTAAATTGGGGTGGGTCTTTTAATAAGGAGATGCCACGTGGCACTCCGTCAAAAATAGGGGCAAATCTAACCCATAATATAACGGTAGGGTCCCAAATGACCCAATAGTGAGACGGAGGGTAAGTTTAAACAATTTTCGATAGTAGAGGGATATATTTGACCCTTTTCCGTTTATGATATTATGTGCCAATTATTTTGTCTTTGCTCTTTGTAATAGCGCCTCTGTCTCATATCAATTTCTCAAGAAGTTCTCCTTTTCCTTAACTCACTAACTTTATGTAATTTTGGTTGATAGCTGTTAAAACAGAATGACTTCCCCTCAGGAAAGGGGAAAGGTCCGAGTGACGATAATTTTATGAACATGATAGCTGTTAAAACAGAATGACTTCCCCTCAGGAAAGGGGAAAGTTCCGAGTGACGATAATTTTATGAACATGCAACACATCAAAAGATTCCAACTTAAGTTTGAAAAAGTAAACAAATGATCAGTAATTATGGCTCGAATAGGAAAGATTTGGGGGAGAGGGGTTGAGATAGACACTAAATTTACCACAACTTACTGCGCATTGTCTTTTCCTTTTTTTTTTCTTCTTCTTTTTGCTGTACTATATCTGATTGTATCAACAAGAAACCTCTTATCACTGACTAGATGATTTTATGGTGCATTTCTTTATCTGTTCGTCTTCACTGGCTTTACTAAAACTTGAAACAGAAACGATCTATGTACGCGTCTGTGAGGAAAGAATGGATTTGCTGCGAGCAGCCATTATTGGTGCACCTGGGACTCCATATCACGATGGAGTCTTCTTCTTTGATATTTACCTACCCTCAGAATATCCTCATGAGCCACCTGTAAGTAAATCTCTGTAGCTTGTAATCTGTAACATCTAATATGATGCACAAGTTATTGCATATTTCCACAATGTGCTGAATGATAGAAATGAGCATTTGCTTACCTTTGGAAGCTGAATGCTCAGATCATATTTATTAATTATCTCTTGTGCAATGTTAGGCATCCAATTGTCGAACTCCACCATCCAATTATGAAATCCATCTGTTTCCTGATTTGTGAAATCAAGTATACACTTTCTCGTTAAAGCTTATTTAGGTTTTGTGAAAATTAAATTGTGCAGATGGTCTACTATCACTCTGGCGGGCTTCGTGTCAATCCCAACTTGTATGAGTCAGGAAAGGTCTGTCTTAGCCTCTTAAATACATGGACGGGCTCTGGAAATGAACTATGGAACCCCAAAAGTTCCACGATTCTACAAGTTCTCCTCTCTCTTCAAGCTCTTGTGCTCAATGAAAAGCCTTATTTCAACGAGGCTGGATATGATGCACAGATTGGAAAAGCTGATGGTGAAAAGAACTCAGTCAGCTATAATGAAAATGCTTTCCTTGTTACCTGCAAGTCCATGTTATACCAACTCAACAAGCCACCTAAGGTAGATGATTTACATTTTAAGTTTTCCGAGTTTCTTTAAATCATATTTAGATTTCAGATAAAACCACGTAATGTAACATGTTTAAGAAACGGAATTTGGTCTCTGGTGACTTAAAGTTCAAATTACCACCAAGACTTTTTGTATTCCAAAATTCTATGTAGAAGCACTTCCCTTTTAATATGGAAGTTTCTGATCTGCTTGGTCAATTATGCTGCAGCATTTTGAGGCACTCGTGCAAGAGCACTTTGGTAAAAGATGGAAGCACATTTTATTAGCTTGTAAGGCGTATATGGATGGTGCACCAGTTGGTTCTGCATTTCAACCCAAAAGCCAGGACCAAGAACCGATAAAAGGAAGCTCTACAGGGTTCAAGATTATGCTTGGCAAGCTTTTCCCTAAACTCGCGGAGGCATTCGCTGACAAAGGTATCGATTGCAGTCAGTTGTCCGACTAAGTGTAGCTATGCACCTATGTAATAAATAACAACCTTACCGGTATATGTACAATATCAGCATTTGAACTGGCCCTAATGTGGCCGCTTTCGTGTTAATTTGAAGTGTGCAAATGTGTATTGTGGGCTTGTTGTGGTAGGGGTGGGTGNATTGCAGCTTGAATAAATGGTTGAACCTTGAGATTGATGTTTACTATGGTTCTCCAGTTTTGAACTTGTCTCAACATGTTTTGGTTACCACTTGTATCCAAAATGCATAAAGGTACAAAGTATAGCAGATAGTAAAACACCAACTTTTTGCAACGGCTGGCTCAGCTTTGGGTTGTAGGAAATGGAAGGTTATAATCACGTCTCCATCACTAGGTGGATTTATTTAGGTCCTTATTAGAGTGGTGGAAAACTCCTAAGCATTTGTCATTCTACTCTCTTTCCCCCTTGTATATGTTTATATTTAAATAGGTTAATGTTCTCAATGGTGAATCGATCATTCGATATACTTTTTCTTCTGCGACGGAATGGAAAAAAAGTCTTTTCAATTCTATTTGACTCGGGGCGTCAGGGACTCTCCAACAGAAATCTCGTCTTTTTTGTCGTCGATAAGTTCTCCCTCAATGCCCTACTATTCATAAGAAATACTGATTGTTGAGAGACTGATTTATGAAAGCCCGGTTTCTATCTTGTTAAGTTACATGTTGGCAATAGTGACACTGACATACATCAACTTAATGGTCTTTGCTAATCTCGCCGATGAATTTCGTTGAAATAAAATAGAAGGATAAAATATACTAAAACAGAGATGTACTCCAATACATTAGGTTTCCTACTACAATTTTTAAAAATGTTTCTTATGTGATAAATATGTTAAAAATATTTACATGAGTACTCCAATTTACACTGACAATTAGATATTTATTTTTGGGATTAAGGGAGTAATAAATAAGAAGTTTGGGGAATGCAGAGCGTTAAATTTACTCATATCTTTCTAAGCACTAGACTTCGTCCTACTACTTTTGATTTTCTTAAGAAGTGCAATTTTAAAGAATAACTGTGTATTAGCTAAAACCAATTTTTCAACACACATATAGATAAAGCATCATTGAATATTTAGTTTTACATTAGATTGTATTGTAAATATATCCATTATAATATTTTTGAAAGAATAAGAAAATATTAATACATGTTGCGAAGAATTAATGTGACAAAAAAAATTCACTTGAGAAAAATAAGTGCTAAATTAAGGTTAGGATGATTTCATTTCTTTCCCTCCTTTCAACTACCTACGTGACTGATATCAAAGAAACATTGAAGGAGAAGTAAAACCAAAACCAAAAATAATTCAAACCGTAAAAGGAACGTCTATTGCAATCTAATTTACTTCAGAATCTGGTCAAAAGCTTCAAGTATGTTACGTTATTATTGAAATGCAAATTAATAAGTTGTTCTCTATCTCTTTTAATTGTTCAACTATATTTAGCCTTCTTATTTCCATTTCTTCTAGTATAAGATTTAATCATAACTAGAAATTCACCCATAGATAATTCTTTATACTCCTATCTATTATGCCTTGTTCAGACCTATTCTATTCAAATATCAAATTATTTATCTTTTGAATAAATTAGGGATCGAAGATGTCTAATAGCATGTTTGGCCAAACTTCTCAAGAGGCCAAAAATATTTTTTTTTTTTCTCAAAAGCACTTTTTTTCCCTACCTTGAGGTGTTTGGCCAAACCTTTTTGGGGAAAAAAGTGCTTTTGGGAAGAAGCAGAAAAAAGTAGTTTCTTCCCAAAAGCAGAAGCAGAAGCAGTTTTGACTTTTCTTCTTACCAAAAATACCCTTAACAAAATATAGTATATACAAAATAACCGTTAAACCTAATACTTAGGATATTAATGTATAAATATTTTTTTATTATTTTTAGGATAGCTTTCTAATATATAATGACTTTAGGGGTAAATGCTTTTATATTTGGTGAATGGTTTTTAATACATTTAACTTATAATAAAAGAATTAAGTACTTTTAAATTTTATTTTCATATTTTACTTAAATAAAATAAAAATATTTAATTATTGCCTGTAATAATAATTTTTTAAGATTATTTATTTACTTATAATATTAATTATTAAGTAAATTTATTCATGCCCTTATTCGTAATTTGATACTTAAAAGCACTTTCTGAAAAGCTTGGCCAAACACAAATTATTGCTCAAAAGTGATTTTCAGAGTGATTAGTCAAACACAAACTTTTTTTCTCCAAAAGTGCTTTTGAAAAAAGCACTTCTCAAAATAAGCTGATTTCTCCAATTTGGCCAAACATGCTATAAATCTCACACATCTCACTGCACAAAAGTAAAGTGTCTTATCATAACAAAAAAAAATTATAACAAAATAACATATTCCCTTCTATTTTCGATGATGTAATTTGATTTGACATAAAGCTAAAGGAAAAAAAAGACTTTAAAACATGTGGTCCTAAAAGCTCAAGGGCAAAAGTTTTGTGGGACCATGACATTTGTGTGGCTATAAAAATTTTCATTAAACGTAAAATAGGTAAAAATAAATAAATAAATTAAATAAAATTATTTTCAAATTTTGGAACAAACTAATAAGGAAATTAAATTATTCAAATTGAAAAAGAGGGAGTACCTAATAAAAGCACAATGATAAAAGTTATATGCTCTTTCATTCATTCTTTGTTTCTTGTTTTTAATGACTGACATAGTAAGTAACGGACGACTATTCTACTTGGATGCTTCCACCAGTATAGATATGAAGTAATTAATTTGGTCGTTAAGGTATAAACATAAGGAATAAAATAACCTAATTTTTGTCTACATTATAATTAGAACCTTAATTTCTCATGAATTCTTTCTACTGTTTTATTTGTTTATTACTTTATATTAGTTTCAAGTTCAAATATCATCCGAGAGAAAAATGCAAAGATTTTTTTCTTATATGTTCAAGCCTTGACGAACAGAAATTTCTTGGATAACATAATTATTAAAAAAATTAATTATTAGTATCATATCATAATTCTAAAATCGAAAGTCAAAATAGAAAATAAAATAAAGAAGCAAACCGACAATTGAGGTATCCAAAAAAGGAAATGAGATTGTGATTCAGGTGTATACAAATGTCAGCAATATTTATTTGATCAACCATTGAAGTCTCCGTCTCTCCACTATGCTCCATGAACACCTCATAACAATGGAGAATTCCTCAGCTCCATCTCCATTGCAAAACCCTAGCTCCAGATTCAAACTTTCCATATTTACAACATCCTCATCACCCAAATTCCAATTTAGTCCTCTTCTTCTTCTTCTACTCCTTCTTCTCCTTTCCCTTAACTCCTCCCTTGGAGTTTCCGAACTCCCTCAGATCCCATACTCACCATACTGTAACGACGTCGTTTCCAGCACCCCTTTAAGCCAAGCTTCAACCCCTTTTAACGCTACCCCAATTTTCCTCACTCTTCGCAACGCGTACGTACACGCGCCGGTTGAAAATGCCGGAAAATTCAATCCGAAAACCCTAAATTTCTACACCCAAAATGTTTATCCGACCCAAAATGGTAAAATATTTAAACTTGAAGGTGTTTTGAGGTTCGCAGGAAGTGTTGGTCCTGAGTTTTTTGGTGATTTTGTACACCGGCGGAAACTCCGGCTAGTTTATAACCGGCCACCTAGGTTTCCTACCAGAGGTGGCGGCGGGTATTCGAGGGAGTTTCGCGTTTCGGGTTTCTGGGATTCGGGTACTGGGAAGCTTTGTATGGTGGGATCAGGTATGAGGAAGTTAAGTTCTGTTGATGTTGTTCTTAAGTTGGTTTATTTCAATTCGTCTGATATTTTGCGTAGTGTTGTTAATGGTACGTTGGAAAGAATTGATGTGAATGATAACAATGCATATACTAAGCCTGTTGAAATACTTGGTTTGTCTTTGAGAAATTATGTGTATACTTTGATTAATAAAGAAGTTGAGAATCATGGGTTTAGTGAATATGGTGATTCGTCTAATGTTTCGTTGGGAATAGACAACCCAGATAGGAGTGTGTGCTCAGTTATAAGTCGTGCTGGGACTATGGAAATGATGTATTTGGGTAATTGTAGTAATGGGAATTGTGATTTTCTTGGTGGTAATGTGTCAAACTTTAGGCCGACGATGATATGGTTTAATGAGATTGAGTGCGGGGATAATGGGAGAGGGAGATTCTTGTTAAGCTTTGGTGATGGTGTGAGCACTCGGCCAACTTATTTGATAAATCAAACATTGGTTGCTGAAGGGAAGTGGGATGAGAAGACGAAAACAGTTGACATGATTGGTTGCCGGATTTTCAATGGAAGTGATGCAGCAGCTGAAAAGGGTTTTGTTGGGGATTGTGTTGTGAGGCTGAGTTTGAGATTGCCTAAGCAATGGACCTTGAAGGAGAGGAGTGTTGTTGTTGGGGAGATTTGGAAAAGAAAAGACTCAAATGAAAAAGGCAATTACGGTAAAGTTGCCTTGCACAGTCTAAGAAATCTGGTTAACAGGCTTGATGGATTGACATATGAGTATACTGTGATTGATAATGTGACGAGGTCTTGTGCCAAGGCAATGAGTTATAAAGGCAATGGAGGGAAGTATCCCGATGTTCATTCATCTGATATGCGATTTGATATGATGGTGAGGAATAAGAAAAAAACAGAAATTTTCAGTTATTCAGCACCATTGTCTGTGGGGGATAAGTTTTACCGGGGTGCATCTGATTCTTCTGTTAAATTGAACGACAATCAAAGTACTGTGGTCAATGTAAGCTATGTGCTTCACTTTTTTGCTCCACCTCAGTTCTTGTACAGTGTTGATCATACTCCTATGACAATTGAAATTTCTGCTGAAGGTTTATATGATTCGAGGAGTGGACATCTTTGCATGGTTGGCTGTATGTATTTTTCATCACGTCAAGGGATTTCACAGAAAAATTCATCGTTGGACTGTGAAATTCTAGTTAATATTCAGTACCCGCCTCTGAACGCTAAAGTCCGCACAGGTGGTAGAGGTACCATTGAGAGCATGAGAACAAAGTCTGATCCTCTTTACTTTGAACCTCTGGAACTTATATCAAATTCGATCTACACTGACCAAGCCAGAAATTCCATATGGAGAATGGATCTGGAAATGACCATGGTTCTAATTTCCAACACACTTGCATGCATCTTTGTGGGTCTGCAGCTATTTTATGTGAAAAAAAACCCAAGTGTGCTTCCGTTTATCTCTGTTGTCATGATAGTTGTACTCACATTGGCACACATGATCCCTCTGTTGCTAAACTTTGAAGCCTTATTTTTGGTCAACCGAAAAAAGCGGAATGTTTACTTTGGTAATGATGGATGGGTTGAAGTAAATGAGGTTTTAATTAGAATCATGACGATGATAGCATTCTTGTTGGAATTCCGTCTTCTCCAACTCATATGGTCTGCAAGAGCAGGTGATGAGATCCCCAAAAATTCCTGGATATCTGATAAAAAGGTTCTGTATTTGTCTTTGCCAATGTATATTTGTGGTGGATTGATTGCTTATTTTCTCCATCTGTCAAGAAATCCTCATCAGATGAAGCTTGAATATTCCCTTCATTTTCGTTACCAACAGCAAACTTTGTGGGGGGAGCTCAAAACATATGCCGGTTTGATCTTGGATGGATTTTTGCTTCCTCAGATTCTGTTCATTGTGTTCTGTAACACTACTGAGAAGGCTCTCACCCCTGGTTTCTATGTAGGAACCACCCTTGTGCGCCTAATGCCACATGTATATGATCTTTACAGAGCTCACGGCAATGCTTGGTCATTTGATTACATTTACGGAAACCCAAAAATGGATTACTATTCTACTGCTTGGGACATCATTATCTGTTGTGGGGGTCTGCTTCTTGCAGTACTCACTTTCTTGCAGCAGAGATTTGGGGGCCGTTGTTTTCTTCCCAGTAGATATAGAGAGAGTTCCACATATGAGAAAGTACCTGTAGTCAGCACTGAGTCAATTACAGAAGAATAAACTGTCAGTAGAAATTTTATCTTTGATTTTTGAAGAAACTTTTAGTTCTCCTGTCATGAGCTTCATTAGATTCCGATACTTGCATTATATGTCAAAGATTGTATAGTTGAAGTATCTAATTTCAAGCCTGCTAAAGAATGATTCATCTGGTAGAGACTAAGTATCTATATATTGGTAGTTAACTCTTCTTTCAGACGCTATTGTTACTGAACTGGCTAGCTTGCAAAATTTTGCTTACCAATCGGCAATCACTGTGAATATTTTCAATCTAAGTGGGACTTGTATCTGTTAGATGCATTGACAGGTTTCTGCAGTACTCTGTTTTCCCCAAATTATAAGTTGTAAAGTACTGGCATTTCATTAAGAAAAGTTTTTAACTGGCAACTTTTCCCACATAACCAGATTAAAATGAATTAATCAGCTATTTTCGCAAGAGAAGCTATTCTCTCTTTTTTCTCTTGGTGCTTTGGGTTGTGGTTAGGCAAGGAGAAAGATGTGTTTGAGGGGTTGATCACTAAAAAATTATTAGTGTAACAGTGAAGATTTTACTCCATTTTAAGATATAGCACGCATCCAAGTTTTATCTCTGAAGATGTATGAAAATTCAGTTAATTCGACTTAAGGTCTAGTTTTAGCTGAAGTGAGAAATTTTATCCAATGCCTCGTACAAATCACACTAGTTGTGTGAGGCTCTTTCAACGTTGGTGGAGATAAAGTAGGGGAAGGGGAACTTCTCTTTTCTAAGTTGCTGATCAAGAGATTATGCTGCCTCAGGGCTTAGATTCAACGATAAGAACGCAGAACATGAAGTCCAAGTTAGGCGCACATCACATATTCGAACTCGGTCATGGATTAAATATTAATTATTTGAATTGGGAGGGGGGTAAGCGGCGTATATTTGCAGGAGATTCGAACCAAATTTGAGTTTCTACATCTCACTTGGGTTTCTTGGCTATTCTCTCTTGTATACTGCTCTTATTTTCCTATAATTGCTACCAAACTAACATTTGCTGTCATGGGTTTCTATGATACGTTCAATGCCTCTTTACTACCGAGTTTTGATGAATTCTAGTAAAAACATAAACTTAACTAAACTCATCTGAATCAAGAAACATCTTAAAAGTGATTTTCTTTAAAACCACTGGCCAATTATTCAGAAAGCCAAATACATTTACAATTTAAGGCGACGAGCAAAGTGCCTTTTACTAGTCTTGCTCAGTGAGTGAATATGAGTTACATCTGTCAAGAAATTAACCACCAAAAAATACATTAAATAGAGCTAGAAGTGAGCAATTTCCTCTTGCAAGCTCAGTAGCCAAACCGTAGTTGGTGTAAGTTCCACTGTCGTCCATTAGCTCACCAGAAATACGCAAATACAGTGTCACCATTTACATGTGGCCATTATGTACAGAACTACAAAAAATTGGAAACATGATAGATCTAACCATGATTCCTGAACCTAACCATACTAAGACTAGGAAGAAGAAAAGCCCCAACTGTTCCACATCGCTTGGTAAAACCGCTGCAAGCCTGCAATGTCATAAGTGATAACTGAATTACATCAGGCTTGCAATTTACAAAGACAGAATGGTAAATATATACTGCACGTGAAAGAGAGATCCTTCATGGTTGTTGGTGTCCCACGGCAGAGAGGAGTTGAATGTGCAAAAGGCAGGTGTGGTGTTTTTCACATGTAGATCAGCTGATTGAGGAAGAAAGATGGTAGTATAGCAATGTATGTTTGGAGATGTTTCAACTCTCAAAGTTTGTAGTTTCAGGTAGCAAAATGGTTCATCGAAAGCACATGATTACAAGGGGAAACCAGAAACCTAAATGAGTAACTCTGTCTACAAATTTTTTGTACAGGTAAAGATGGGTTACTATTGTTGATTTCATCTGATATAGATGATTTAATAAAGATATAGAGGGTCTACAGTCAAGACTCTGACTTTTTAATCATGTTATAAGCCAAGGGAGGTGGAATTGCAAGAGTCAAGATATTCTCCATTGAGTTGGAAGCGGTATGAAAGACAGGTTCAGGAATGGTCAGACTAGCAGTCAGAACTAAGGGCGGACAGATATTCTCTGAAACAAAGATTGTATCATGTTCGTACAAAAGAATTTGGAAATACAAGTCTGGAAAAGAGGTAGAACAGTAAATTATCAAGTAGCATAGGTTATTGAGTATCATGATGTCAAAGTTGCTAACTGGTTATGACATTATCATCAAGCAAAGAATGACTTGAACATTAGGAGGTGCGCGGTCAGCATCTAAGTTTTTAGTCGTCAAAAGTAGAAATGTTGACATCCTCCTTCCCAGCCAAGCAAACAATATAAACTCAAAATTAAATAAAGCAGAAATCACAATGTTGTAAGTAGCAAGGAGAATACACAAAAGTAGTATTAACCTCGTCGACTTGGTAGACTGAAGGGTGAGAAGTTACCCAGACTGAGTAGAAGGCACAAATTCAAATTCCCCATCCAAGCTCCGACAAAAAATAAAGCCACTTATTTAGAACCGCGGCCTATATAATCAAGAAAAGAGATGCATATGCCTCTGAAATTATTAACTTGTTCCTGCAATCAACAGAAAAGTTAACTAAAACAAGCATGATTATTGAACATCATAATCTCAATCATTAAGAGATATAAGAAAAACAACACATATAATATCTTTGATAGTATGACCAGTTATTCAGGTAGACCAAAAGATTTTATTGATGTACTTAGCCAGAACTGAGGATGTGCTGCACCCGGACATTTACAAAAAGGAAAAACTCAGCTCCTGATCTGTAAGAAGCTGAGGAATTCCGACATTTGCTCCACTTTGTGGACATCATCTATTTTGCACCAAAAAGCTTAACTTGTAGAATGCTTTTACCTCACATCAAGTTTATGGATTAAGATATCTATCTTTAGACCCCGAACCACACCCCAATGCCCCGACCTCCCATCCCTTCTCTCTATCACAGTTTCTCTTTTCTTTCTTTGATAATGAGAAGTCCCCAAGAGCCAGCTGGTGCAGGATTTGAATCTCGGTGGATAATGGGTCCGCATCTCTGCCCTTCTCCACTTAAATATTAGGGTTCGAACTTCTGATGTTGGGTTCTTATCACTAGACCAAAGTCCTGGGGGGCTCTATCTTAGTCTTTCTTTTTTTCTTTTATGTGATGAGGATGAAATTCTAGAGTGATCTTCCAACAAGCGAGGATAATTACTCTAAGAATATTTTTTTTAAAGGGATACTCTAAGATTATAGTGACACCATATTGTAAATTTTCCTGCTCAATACTGTTTTCAATGCAAGTAATAATTTTAGGCCATCTCATAAAAGCTGAGGATGGGAGAGGGGGCGGATTCATAAACATGTTTTTCTGCTGTTGGTAATAAAGCAAAATGTTGATGTTCAGGCCTCCTTATTCAAAATCAAAAAGAAAGAAGCGTGATGAAAAGTTTAAAAGAAAGAAGGTAAAGTGAAATGTGAAAATAGCAAAAGTGTTTCTGATATGTATTACTTTATTAGACGGATGTTGTACTCTTGCAGGCAAAGACTTGCTATCCTCAATAACATTCATCTTAGCCTGTTACACTAGAAATGACATTTAAAACCAGTAGATATAAAGGTTGCAAATCTGTTCTCAATAAATCTGCTTCTACATCAGCACTATCAAACAACTGTTCATTTCTCCAGGGTTAGCCTATTTTTGGCCAAGAAAGCAAAGCATATTAATCAGTCTAAAACAGCCATACAAACTCTGTGACAAAATGTCAAAAGTAAGAACATTCCGCTTTTTTTTCTTTTTTTTTTAAAAAGTAATTCAGTAAGTTCCGTCATGTGTATGAACTCGTTTACGTAGACGCATTCATGTTGCTGACCTCATGAACAACAGGGCAGCCAATCCTTCTCAAACAAAAAGATTATCTTATCTCAGAAAGGCTAGATAAAGTGTCACCTTTGAACTTAGCAAAGATTAACAGCTAAAATTTTATCTAGCTACCTTCGAACTTAGAGAAGGTTAATTGAATCAGAGCACTATAAATTTGGACAAGAAACTACAAGTCTGAAAAGTACTAGCAGCTATACATAGCATGTGAATTTAAACCTGATAGACTAAAGTACACTTACAATCATCATGATAAATAGAAACTCAACTACATATGCAAGTTAGAGAATCACCTCAAATTATGTATCTTTGCCTGTGAGGATACGAGAAATCTGAAGGCCCCTGCTGAAAGCTTCATTAAATAATATTCTTGTCTGCATGGATTGAAATCCAGGCATCCATGATAGAAATGCCAGAGGAGCCATAACAATTAGCCCAAGCATCATATCATATAGCCGAGCCAAAGACACAACAGTGCTCCAAACCAAAGTAGACTGCAAAAAGGGCCGGAGCACTAGGGCAATTTGGATTAAGCCCCATCCAGTTGGAATAAATGCCAACAAACTTGTGATGAAGTCAATCAGCGTAAACTTGGTTAACCTCAACAATAGAACAATCACCAACGTAGTGAGCAGAATGACAAACAACTGCACCAGTCGATAATATATGTGCTCCTTCATCGAATATTTGTCTTTTGCATATGCAATGGCAATGTAAATTGCCACAACAGCGACCATAATAATCCAAGACAGCAAGTAAACACCAATACTAGTGTTACCACCAGCAATGTGTAATTGATAAACAATTCCATATTGAAAGAAGAAGAAACGAAGATCCATAATAATCTCAAGCAACTTTCCCCAGAGACCGGTAGTTCTCAGGTGGTCCTGTTCTTCATACCACCATGTCTCCCAACTTTGATCCGCTTTTACAAAAACTCCCCTATTGTACCAAATCCAATGCATGAAATCATCAAAGTCATACACTGTTCTTAACCAGTCAAACCCAGAGGGATTGAACAAAAACGGAGATGTTATCCATGACAGTACAAGGAACCAACTTGATATAGTCATAGCTATATACACAAAGGTGTCCTTAGTCAAGGGGCTATGTGAAGCATACACAATGAGGATCACTCCAAGTTCGATTGCCTTGACAAAGTGGCTGCGAGCATATAGCCGATAGTTCTCAGCAAAGCACTTGCGCTGCACAACAAAACCGCGCCCAGTTGCACGGTACTTCGCTCCCCCATGCAGAATGGTCCTACCAAAGAAATGTGCACGGGTTCCCATTGAGTATGTGAAAAATA